CAAGTTACCGCTTGCACGGACGGACGGACAGACGGACAGACAGACATCCGGATTTCAACTCTACTCGTCACCCTGATCACTTTGGTATATATAACCCTACATCTGACTCTTTTAGTTTTAGGACTTACAAACAACCGTTATGTGAACAAAATTATAATACTCTCTTTAGAAACTTTGTTGCGAGAGTACCTATAAAAATCCTGAAAGCTCCCAAAAGAGTTCTAAAAATAATCTTTTGAAGTTGTAACTACGACTGCTGAGGCATTTTCCGACTACTTATTAATTTCTTATCACATTAGAGATTTCCATTACATTTGTTGGGGAACCGTGAGCTCATTGTGCCTAACTATTAAGTGTTTTTTATGTTTTGTTGAATTTACCTTGCATAGTGCGACTCCAGTATCTAGACGATCCATAAAATTTTCCGCATTTATATTTAAATCTGGATAAAGCGTGCTCAACCACTCGGCCAAGTCCTCCTTCATCGCCTCCAAGTATTCCTCGCTCGATTTGAAAGGCCGATAAGGCCGCGCCTCGAGCATTGCCATTTTTGTGGGTCTTTAAAAAATACTATTTCGGTTACAATTAATACACTAACCGATCGACTATGATTTTACGCGTTCGTTTTTAAGTTTTCTTAAAATTTATTAATAATTGCTCGTATTTAAAAGTTTCGCGTTTTTATTTTATCAATATATTTTAAGTAATTATTTAATGTTGAAAAGTGAACAAAAAAATAAAGAAAAACCCGTTCGTTTGTTTATTTTAATCGCTTGCTAACTACGTCATAAGTATTATTCACATATCTAGCCTTTATTATTAGAAAAAAGTTGTTTTCTAATTTTTTTGTGGACTCGTGTTTAATGTGGAAATTCGTTTTGTGACTTTAATTATTGATAAAATAGTTGGGTACTGGTTGATAATTCATTATAATTCGTATATTCAAAGTTCTTGCCGCGCGCTTTATATTGCATCAAAGTTATTGGGGGGCGTTCACATGAGATATCTGCAATGGAAGAATTAAAAAAAAAAACGTGTTAATTAGCAACTGACCAAAAGTGTAAAAGATATACTAGTTTGTTGTTTGTTTAATATAGAAGTAAGCTTATTTTTTTATAAAGTTCTCATATACATACTTTATGAACAGTATAAATACACATATACATACATATATTTCTTCATATATACATAAGTATAAATTTGCGCTCTGATTGTCACTACATTTAACTGCTTAAGAGCTTTTGCATTAAAGCGCGGTACACCTGTTGGCCGGCAGCAAAATAAAGGGAATTAAGTCACTTGATATCGTCAATGCGTGTCAGATAACCAGCGGCTAACTTAACTTAAATTGAGCAAAAGAGAAAAAACTCAGAAAAAGAGGTAATGAAAATGTAATTTTTTATAAACATGGGTTGTAAGGGGTATCTGACCTCCGACAACGAATTGTGACTAACTCGAAAGTAACTAATCATAGTAGACACTATTTCGGCCCGTTTATATACTTTTTCTAAAAACTTTGGACTTTGGTTTTTACAATACCTCCGCTTTACACCGTAAACCCTAGTTTACTATCAATAATTTTTTTTAATATTAAACACCTGTCTCGCGATTCCTTTCGACTGATTTTGGTGGATATTTTGGGTATGAAACGCATTCTTACTCGACTCGTCCCGATAAAGCAGAATTTCGATTCCACATTCATGAAAAGTATTATAACAGCCGATGAGAAATGGCTTTATGAGTTTGGCATTCAAGCAAACAAGTCAACAATTATCGGAATGAAGAGGAAAAATTAGCCGAAACCAGAAAAAAAAAACTGGCAAGCCGGTCAAAAATCGAGGTAATGCTCATTCCTTTTTCCATTTTCGTGGTTTGCTTAATCATGAATCATGTGATCCTTGTGATTTTTGCTGAAAACTGAAATTGCCGCTCCGTGGAACCCGTTTGTAGTTAATTAAAGAGTAAAAACAAAATTTACCGAAGGAGCTGAAGGAGCTGAAGGCCATCCCAAAAAGTGCTTATGAGACGTGTTTCAAGGACTGGAAAAATCGTTGGCATAAGTGTATTGCATACATCTGGTGGGGATTACTTTGAAGGAGACAAAATAAATATTAATAAATAATTATTTATCACAATATATGATTATTATTAGTGAATCTGTACGAGCTTAATTTGGCAAAGCTTTAAAAAATCCTTTATTGATATAACAGAAAATTTTTCAATAACGTTACTATCAATAATTCCACAACTGAACAACTCCAACCATCATTTAATAGCTTTTACATCGATTTATGCAACAGCTCTTCTTAGGTGTCAGTCTTGAGGGTCACATAGATACAGTAAGCTTTAGTACTTATCTATGAAAAGATATTGAAGTGTTAAAGAATCTGAAGCCATAAACCAAATTTTTTAGATATTTCGTTGAGAACGCATTTATTGAAATAATAAATAGATATAAAATTGCATACTATTGCAAGCCAAAGAGGAGTTAAACAACACAAGAAATCCATACCCCTGGTAAAAATTTGCTTCTTACGCCACTGAATATGCGAAAAGCCTATGGATTAAGGTAAATATACGCCTATGCCGTGTGCACAAGCAATTAGCTGTAATACTCCTCACTTAATTGAGAAAGCTTAATTCCAAATGAAGACAAACCGCAAAGTAATAGCTTAAGCGTTTAGTAGCTAATCGAGCATGGGGTTTTGCGGCTTTTGTTTTTTTATGAGATGAGATAATCATGACACCCCTAATTATGTAAAGCGAATATTGAAAAAATAAAAATATGAACAGGTAATATGAAGCTGGATGGGAAGAGAAACATTTGCTTTACATGCCTTTGACATACATACTAAAGTGATGGAAATTTTACAAGTGCAATATAAAATTGGTTTTGCAAAAAGAACTCAGTTCGACTCTTTCACAATAACCCCTTCAGGGGGTTCAACCATTAAATAAGGTTTTCAGCATTCAAGAAAAAAACTTCATAAATATGAGCGACCAACTGAATATTGAATGCGTTGTATATTATATTGTGCAATAATTTTTGGTTCGATTATCCTTTTAATTTCAATATCATTAAATCGAAGAAATATATAAATATAAATAAATAAGTTTGGAAATTACTTCACATTGTTATGCAGTTATTAATGCAACGAAGTCATGCCTGACTATTTTTAATTAATATCGCTAATAAACAGGAAGGGGAAAAAACGTTCGATTTCTCATAATTGACGCTTGAACATTTCACGCTGGTCTGCACAAGATTATGATTACTCAAGTGTTAAATATGAAGTAAGTGAAGCTCGTAGAAGATCTCTCTCCGTCTTGACAGACGAGATATGCATACATACCAACATGTATTTTGTATCATGAAAAGTTTGTGGATATATGGGTATGAAGGGACGTAGGTACCACATACATACATATGTAAATTGCAGCGTCATTATGAGCACCGGAACGGGTGCGCCTTTACTGCGCAAAGCATGTATCCAGAAGCAGACCCATGGGAACTTTTGAGACAACTTCCCTCTCTTTGAGATTTTACCGCTACTGAAGTACAGAAGTATTCTTATGTATATTGCTACCAACCATGTTTAATAAAAAAGCGGTGAAGTTTCTCTGTGTGTAAGCATATCAGTAAAGTGGGGAATAAATATTAATCATAGATATTGCAAAATTAAAAAAACAATCCAGTCAATATTTGTATTGTAACCATAGGCATGTATAAATTATAAAAAAATAAAACAGCTGGCAACCCTTGTCAAAAATAATAATTATATATCATAATAATTTAATTTTCATGTTGTAATATTTTAATTATTTCGATAAATTTCATCTTTTCAAACACTTTTTTAACAGGTGGCAACACTCAAACAAAATTATTTTAAACTTTAAGCAGTCTTAAACCGTATATAATCGGGGTGCTTCTTGGTTTAACATATGTAAGTTTTTCATGAACTTAAATTTTTTTAACAGGTGGCAACACTCAAACAAAATTATTTTAAACTTTAAATTGTCTTAAACCGTATATACACGTGGTGGTTCTTTATTTTACAAAAGTGTTTTCTCTTAATTTTCAAACAAATGGCAACTTTATAACTTTCTTAAATCTTATATTAAGCGTAAGTCGTTGGAAACCAGCTAAAATATACATTAAGCCAGTCATTTTATCATATCATATGCATATAACATTCATAATATGTACGACTATATATAGTATAATACATATTTCAGTGTCCACCTTCGAAATTTCAGCTGAGAAAAAAAATCAGCGTGCAATTCAACGCTAGTTTAAGCTAATTTATTGCCACAACAAGGGGAAATATTATATACACCATGCCACAACCGGATTTTCGCCATTAATCGCACACCCCTAAAATAAGTTTACAAATGCTGTTATGATATGTATGCACAAAAATTGATCAAAAATTGGACATGCGAAAAATTCCACAAATATTTACGCACCCAAAAATGCAACAAAAACACTAAACGCCAATATTGAATGTCGATGCAAAACATACATATCTACATATGTGCACCCATATTTATAAGCCCGTCAAGGTTTATGTAATGACTTGTGGCGGAACCAACGTGATCTTAATTAAGTCCAACCGTATGCTTAGCGCCGGCCACAGTGCAGCTCGGCTTGAGTGGTCCACCGCCGCCGCCGCCGCCGTGTGTCTGATTGGCCTAACCCCAGTCGCCACATATTACTTATATGTTTATGTGCGTGTGTGTGTGCCTTGCGTTGGTATGCGGGGCGTGCAATTTCACTGTATCGCCGCAACTACAAATTAAAAGCGCAAGTGTAAATTTTTAATTACAACAAAAACCAATAACATGCATGTACCGTTGTGTAGCCAACATTACCGTTAATGAAAATGGCAATAAAATTTGCGGTGGGAAGTGAGCGAATGCTGGGAACACAAATTACGCGCAAACACAATGAGGAAAAAAATAAAACTCAATCACAGAAAAAAAATGGCAACTAATGTAATGAATCTGCACAATTTCAACAGTTTCGCACATAACGTTTATTAATTTTTTCAATTGGTGATTTGTCAATTCTTTTTTTTTTTTTTTGCATTTAATTTTTTTCTCAATAACTCAATCTCCGAATGAATGTGAATGTGTAAAGAAAGGGTGCGAAGTTTTAATGCCCAATTATAAATTTATTACCGAAAAGGCTATTTTTGGTACATATGTAAGTATGTATGTATATTTGTATGTATGAATGTATGCATTAATATATGTATGTACATAACTAATATACCAAATGTAAGGGCAGGTCAACTTATGCAATCGCTTTCCTTTAATTGAAATTGCCAATGTTCGACAATATTTTAAATTTATCAATTAACTTTATGCATAATCAAACTTAAAATATTAAATTTTTTTTCAATTTGGACAATAATATTTCTGATGCCTTATGGGGCGAATCATTATTTTTTTTCAATTATTATAAATAGCTAATAAAGTAAACGCACGACATAAATTTAAAATGTAAAAAATCAAAAAAAAAATTATTAAATCGCAATTTTTACAATTGATTAATCGGCAAATAAAAAAACGTCATAAATTACGAATTTCTCCCAGACTATGTAAAAATTAATTTTTTACATTTTACAGATAAAATTTACTTAAACGAAATACATTTTTTATAATTTCGCTAAATGTTGTTCGGGGTTTTCTAGGAATAAAGGTTGTTTGTGGAATTAAAACAAATTGAAACAGATGTACTTCTATTAATATCTAATAAATTATTAATTAAACGGCTTTTTTAATCGATAAGCTTAAAACATAAGATAGTATTCTGACCGTATACGAAAGAAGCTAAGCCCTGAGGAAAATCAGACCAAAAAATCAAAAATCCGCTTTCATATGATCTGTTCTATAAATCCCTTCTGAACAATTTCTTATGATATATATTGAGGAAGTTCCCCATACCAGCACCAGATGCCGATCGTTCAGTTTGTATTACAGCTATATACTATAGTAAGCCGA